AACATGGGCGAGATCCGGTTATCCGAGCCTGGAATTTGCGGCAGTCTTCCCTACATCGCTCCGGAAGTTCTTGCAAAGGATCACAGCTACGACCCACGTCCGCTGGATATCTGGTCCACCGCCATCGTCTACCTAACTATGACCTTTGGCGGCTGCCCGTGGCAAGCTGCGAAGCCCGAATTCGAGTACTACGCCAGGTTTAAGAAGGGTTGGGATTCTTGGCTGGAACGCCATCCCGACGGTGACATCTTTGATGGTGTCGATGGCCACCCTAAGTGTGGCAAGCTGTTCAGTCTCATCGAGCCCCCGTCCATCAAACGCCTCATGCTAAAGATGCTTCATCCGATACCCTCAAAACGCATAACCATCGGCGAGGTTTTAAAAACAAGCTGCATCAAGAATATTGGCTGCTGCTGTCCAGAGACGTACGACGACCCCAAAATCATGTTCGACGCTTCCAAGTCCTCGAGTGCTAGGACTGCCGCCCCGAAGAAGTTTTTGCATCATCACATTCCGCCCAAGCCGGAGAACAAGGTTGGGAAGGCATTCACACATAGGTTCGATATGGGCGAACGATAATCACGACTGTATATTTTGACGACCATTGTTTTCACGATCACTGCATTACGGCGCTTGAAGGCCGAGCATAGCGGGTCAAAAGGCGGTCTTTGTCCCGTTCCCAATTTGGAGGCATTACTGTATTTTGTTTTACTAGCACGTCAGTTCCATCAGCATTCTGCGAATGCCACTTCAAACGACACATATACCACATCGACGTCTTGTCTCGTCCCACCTTCCCTTTCCGTCTCTCGCTACTTTCCTTGTCCAACACACGTGTATGCGCGTGCCATGCGATTGGCAGCCCTGCAGAAAGTGCGAACGCGGCAATTGCCTTGACGCGCGGAGATCACCAAGCAGCAGCTCCACTTCGTCTCGGAGGAATTATGATTGCGCAACTCGCGAGCTAGCGAATAGCTTACGCTGATCTTCCGCTGTTATCGGAAAACTGTATCTGTCTGACGTATCTCCAGATTTTCGTCATTCCAACTTCGCTGATATGGGTTATCGAATCCCGCTCTGACGATGCATGCCGACGGCAGCAAGCAAGTTTGTAATGACCCGCTTGTCCGACGTGGCGCCGAGATACTTGGTCCGCTAGGGATAGAGGTCCACAGGCTCGGCGATGAAGGAATGTAAGCGCGCGAAAATGAGCTGGTTCTGCGTTTACAAACTGGAGTGTAGCATGGGGTATTCCGGGTACTGCGCCCGCTATGTTGCGCATGCGCGATACTGCAAGTCATCAAAAGCGTGGAGAGAAGGATCAAATGGTGGCGCAAACCAGTTTAACACGAACTCCAACACAACGCGAAGCAACCATCTCAACAAACACGTGGGGAGTATGATACGCCCACAACACACGATCGAGCTTGAATCAGACAAAGCATTGGCGCAGCGTACTAGCGGTCGGCGCTGGGCAGTTTCCACACATGCTTCTCGAATGCGGGGCATGTGTGAAGTCATCGCACAGCACCCTGTCAAACAACCGCCGAGTGTCTTTTAAGCCGCTGATGGAGTGGTACCGAGATACTGTCGTGTCATCGTCAGCACGTTGGTTCGACTAATAGGTAGGCGATAGACATGTCTCATGCTGGTTAGGATACTCCGGCTTTTGAGCTCGTGTGTGAATAGCGGGGTAACGCCTTGCTGTAGGTGTGTTGTTTTGCGCTGCTCAGCTTGATGCTGTCACACGACTATGCGCTGAATAGCGAGTGTGTACCAGGTGGAGCAGGTGATTACTTCGTCATGAATTTGATGAGGCTGAAATGCAAAGGGTCGCTTAATGGGAAATGGAAACAAGCATGCCTTGTTGTGTGGATGCCGACTTTCCGCGTCCTTGCATACAGAATCATCAACCAGACTTGAAGCATCCCCTTCGCATGACATGTACGTCTGATATGATTCATAGCCTAAACCTATTGGACGGTAATGGGCCTTAATCATTAGGCTCAATCATCAACATCACAAAACAACGCAGTCCTTCCAACCACATCAACAAACCAAATTCTCCCTCACGCACTCCCTCCCACCAATCCTCCACTCCTTACCCAACGACCATTCAAAACCTCTTCGCAAGACCCTTTCCCTCCCCATGACCTTTCACCGATATCCACCTCCACACTTCCCCACATGCTGCAATGCACACCCACCCCTGTCTCATCACCCTGGCAGAAAACGCGGTGTGATGACTTATGCTGCATCGCAGGAGGTGCTCTTTTCTGTTCTTGCCTGTTCTCATGCATCAAGGTTTATGCTTAGCATGGCTTATCACGCACAAGACGACGCAAGGCGAATGCTTAGCCTGTGACAGGTGTGTGAGGGGAAGGGTGAGACGTGTGGTGTGTGGGTGGCGTGGGGGTGGATAAAGGGTTCATTGGCGACGGAGGGGAGGGCCGGATGAGCGTGCATTGGAGAGAAAGGTGATGGGCGTTGCATGGGTGTTTTGTAGATACAGATCAGAATATTCGGTATGGGATAACTAGGTTGAGCTTATTAAGGGTTCGGTGTGTGCGGAAGACTTGATTTCTCTAGACACCGTTCTAGATTATAAATAGTCGTATGCTAATTAACTTCGCGAAATCTACCCCATTCTATACGTCGCGTTTTCTCTTCCGTTACAAGCCCTGCGCCTACTTACTACCACCACAGCCACAATGCGAGAAGTCGCTCACCACATCTCCCAAACTCCCTCGGGCAACACCGTCCTCATAATCTTCCAATGGCTAACCGCACCATCCTCGTGAAACTTCTCCAGCTCACCCACATCCGCATTGCCCATGACCCTGCCTCCATTCTCCTTGCTCACAAAATCATAATTGACTTCCAACTTCTCTTGCGGCTGTAAGAAGTTCCTCCTCGCGATACTACCCAGATAATCCTTCTGGACCGTATCGCGGAAGTTGACAGCCGCTTTACCCAATCCGTGGTCGTTCTTGACGCAGAAAATGACCATGTTGATGAAATCGGCTTCACCTTCCTTGTGTTCTGCCTGAGGCGGAGAGTCACGGAAGAGGCGGCAGGCGGGGAAGATGGCATGAATTGTGTTCAGCACCAGTCTCGTTGAGCCCAGTGTAAGGTCTCCGGCGTAGTTGATCGCGACGAAACCTTCTGGCTTCAATAGGTCGTAGAGGCCTTGCATGAACTCTGTGGTGAAGAGGTACACGGGTTCTGCGCCGCCGGTAAAGACGTCGTGGATGATGTAGTCGAAGCTGCCGGGTGCTGAGACGGACCTTTGTGCTACGTAGGCGGTTGCGTCGTCGATGACGGCTGTGTGGTTTGGGTCTAGCGCGAAGTACTTCGTTGCGTAGTAGTGGACTACGGGGTCGAGTTCGACAATCGTCGTGTTGATACCGTGCGCGATCATGGCGTTTGGTGCTGTGCCGATACCGAGACCAATCACCAATGCAGATTTCTCGCTGTCGTCTACGATAGGTATGGTATCGACTGGGGGTTCCATGAGGCGGACGGCTTCGAGGAGTACAAAGACGGCAAAGATGGACTCGCGTTGGCGTTGGCCTTTAGCATAGGCTTGGGGTGTTACGAGCCACTCGCCTCCAAGGAGGGAGTGGTCGCATCGAAGAAGACGAAATGCATTGTCGGCATGGTTCTCGATGACAGAGACATATCCAGTGACGGACTCATGACGAGCGAGAAGCGTGTAGTTCTGCGTAGCTTGCAAAGTGGAGTTTGCCAATTGTAGACCGTGGGTTGAAGGATGATGCGGATTCGTCCAGAGCGTGTGGAGGATTGCCGGAAATGCGAGAAGGATGACACGTGATGGGCTGAAGAAAGCAGATGCCGACGCAAGCAGCATCTGCATACCCACGCGTGTGAAGTAGACGGATGTACCGATGAAGCCGGGGATGAGAGCGCTGCTAATCTTGGCTACGGTCGAGACGGTAAAGTAGGATGCAGTGGGGATAGCGATTTCCTTCAATGGCGAGGGATTGATGCCGGTAATGTCGATGCATTCCAGTAGATCGGCGGCAGCAAAAACTGACAAGAACAGTAGGGGGAAGTAGGTAAGGGACTCGATGAGCAGAGGTCCGTATTCTACACCAATCTTTCCGCTGTATGGAAATAGTAGGAACTGGATGACGGGCGTCCAGTACGCGACTACAGCGATGTACTGTGCCACATTCGCAGATACGTAGCTCTTCAATGCCCGTCGCGTTAAGAGTGCTGCAACAGCGGTGATAGTCATTGTCCGTTGATGGTGCAGCGATGCTGGGATCGATCCATAGATAGGAGACAGGTTCAGTTGTGAGACTGGAGATGCAAAACCTGCGACAAGCAGGAGTGCTGCTGCTCTACCAATGTTCAGAAGAATAGTCGATGCTGGGGCATTTTGCGCCTGGGTTTCCGCCTCTTTCGCTGCCTTTGGCTTCTTCGGTGTCTTCTGTTTCGGCGACATGATGTAGAATTTCCGTTCTTTCTCTTTCTATCAAACCAAATCCAAATGCTCTTGAACAAGTCGCTGTAACGGCTTTCGCGAAAAAGAAAGATGGCGAAGCGTGTGAAGCGTTGAAAAGACCAGATATCGCGTAAACGGTCCAAGGAATCCCAAGTTCTTCAAGCACTCTATACGGACCGTAGATCCGCGATAGTGTAGTCGGCCCGCGAACAACGATAGAGAGCAGCAAGCAAAGTGCAAAAGAAGGGTATAAGGCAGGAAAAGGAAAGGAAGAGACGTTGAAATTAAAAATCAAGAAGGCCAGCTGTTCCTGGCTGAATGGGATGATGCACGGGTGAAACGGGCGATCATTAAGGTGGAGTTCGTTTCGACTGGGCGCGTTTCGCACTAGAGTGTGGCGCCCAGCACGGCGTGTGGCGTCATTACCAAGCATTGCGATTGCCCATCACTTCTACCATAGCGACTGCAGTGAGAGAATATCTGGAGTCTGAATCCTCTTAGTATGCCATACATGACCGGGTCACCCAGAATGGCGCCAGGTCTCGCTCTACGACCAGCCAACGCGCCGGAAGCAGCCAAGGACCCCGCGACCCCCAATGGCCATGTCAACGGCGGCGCATCCGCCCCTACAAACGAAGACGTGGAAATGGACGATGAGGTAGACGAATCGCTACTCCGCGACCAACTCCGCCAGAACCAAGACGAACGTGCGCAACGACTCCAGGCTAAGAACCGGCGCAAGCGCTACCTCGAAGTGCATCCCGAATACTTCTCCGACTCGTCCCTCGAGCTCGCCGATCCGCTCCTATACGACCGCCTCATACGCCGCTTCCAAACCGCATCCGAGCGCGAAGCCGAAGGGCGCAAGAAAGGCTTCTCGGGCCAGATGGCTACCGATCTGTGGCGTGCCGAAGCGAAGAAAGACGCGCTGTCGCAACCCGACCCCAACTCACTCTTCACATACAACCGCGGACCACAGGGTCAGATAATGGAGGAGGAAAAGGATGATGTGCCCATGACGAAGGAGGAAGGGAGAGCGTGGTGGATCGACGAGATGACACAGCGCTTCCTGAGAGGCGGAGACGATGATTTCGAATACGACAAGCTCGTCGACAAGAACCCTAGATACGACGACCCTGAGGCGGAACGAGATTTAGAGGACGCGTATTTCGAGAGCATGGAAAGCGACTTCGATTCGGACGGGGAGGGGAAGGAGAAGGTGTTGACGGGTGAGACGGGCATACAGGACTATTGAGCACACGCGAGCGATGCACAAACAGCCAGGAAGGGAGTTTTTGGCTGAATGCCATAACTATCGCCGAAAACTCTTGCAATCGCAGGCGAAAGGGTACGTCGTTACACATTCTATCTGTCTGAAGTACGAGACTAACGACCCAGACTACAGGAAATACTTGAACGTAATCGCCCGATCCCCAAGCGCGCCCAGCTCCTCGGGAGTATACCCGTTATGCGCGCCCTCAGCTACCTGTCGCTCCCTCTTCGCGTTGATGCGCTTGTAGTTGAACACCAAGAACAGCAACGCTATGAGACCCGCCACGATGAAACCGAGTTCGAGAGCATGACCGAGAAGATAACGCGGCGCGTCTTCTGCGCGATAGAAGTTGGAGGCCATGGCTGGCGAAAGTCAGTGACAAGAAATGTGGCACATGAGGAATGGACAACTTACCACCCGCCAAATTACCCACGGCGATCTGGATAGCTTGCCCGGTAGCTCTCTTCGTACTTCCAGCTAGATTATTGCTGAGCCATGTGATATTTCCAGGGAACGCTGGATACAGCGCACACGCCGCGATGAAGACACCCGCGTATACGAGCCCTGGCACGCTGCCACCCGCGATACACATGATGAAGCCGACAGCCATGATGCACAGACACACCAAGATGAACGGATACCGCTTTCCAACTCTATCGCTGAACCACGCGACAACAACAGCCAATACGGAAGCGGTGATATAGATGGGTACGGTGAGGAGTTGGGCTGTGGAAGAGGAATATCCGAGTGCGCGGATGATGGATGGGAGGAAGAGGGATATGCCGTATAGCGGACATACGATACCTGCCTATGTTAGCTCGGCACACCAGCAAAAGAGTTGAGAATTGGCACATACCCCAATAAACCAAAACATTCGTCCAAATCTGCCAATCGAGGAACGCCGCTTTGACAAACTTCCACTGGAAGCTATCATCTTGCGCGACCCTAACACCACCATCCGCTTCTTCCTTGTAGTTCTGATACTTCAAACGGTATACAACAAAAGCACGCTCTTCCTCCGTGAGGAAAGTAGCGGTTTCCGGGAAGTCGTAGAGCGTGAAGTATGCAATGATTGCCACGATGACGGTCAAGATTCCCTCTAGGATGAAGATCCAGCGCCAACCCGCGAGATTCCCTACACCATCCATGTGTGCGATGCCGAAGGCGAGAAGACCAGAGAAAGCGCCTGCGACAGAGGCAGCGGAGAAGAAGAGGGCTTGGCGGAACTGCGCTTCGTGGCGGGCGTACCACATTGTGATGTAGTATGCTACTCCTGGGAAGAGACTATTCAGATGGTTTGTTAGCCTGACGCGCTCAATCGGCTGTAGAGCATGCCGTTTCCATAGGCAGACAGGGACTCGGTAGAGACATACCCGGCTTCCGTAACACCCAAGAAGATTCTTGCAATCAACAGTCCCTCATAGCTCTGCACTATGCCCATGAGCGTCATGACGATGCCCCATGCTACCATGATGGTTGGGAGCCAGATCGATGGCCGAAGCGTTTTCAGTAGGAGGTTGGAGGGCACTTCGAAGAAGGCGTATGTGAAGAAGAAGACTGTTAGACACCTGCTTCCATTGTTAGGCTATCATATAAACTCAGAAGACCGATAGATCTGCGAAAAGCATACCAGTTGTACTGCGCACCCGTCATATTGAGATCTTCCGTTAACCCTTCAATCTTCGCGTTACCGATGTTTCCTCGATCCAAAAAGGAGAGAAGATACAACAGCGCTAACATGGGGATGAGGCGCAAGTCCATCTTCCGTAAAATCTTCTTCTCGTCGAGATGCGCAAAAGATGCCATAGTCACGCCTGGACTTGTAGCCAGCGCGTCGATGCGCGCCCGCTCCTCTGCTTTTGTTCCCCCATGGCCGAATGATGTGATCGAGGCTTTGCGTGCGGCATGGATAGATGTGCCATCTGGAGAATCACTGGCGTGGGAGAGCCGGTGAATGGCAGGCTTTTCGTCCATGGTGACGAGGGTTCAGACACCTGTATTGAAGACGGGGTGGGTAGGCTTGCGGGGAAGAAGAGAGATGCAAGCAACACCGTGCAATAAACGACCAAGAATGTCAGATACCTAACAGCTAAAAAGACCAATCCCTCGCAACATAAAAGTCCGGGGCCCATCCCATACCACATCCTAAAAGCCACGAGCCGCAGATCCCCGCCGTCGCGCGAGCGCGCCCACTGCACGCCAGTCCAGCCGAATAACCATCGTCTCCACCCCCATGGGGCGCGCGGTCAACGATTACCGTAACTATCCAGCGACCGTTCACCCGTTAACCAAAGTTTACTCCGCGGGCACATACCCCGACATGACACGCTCTCACTCGGTCATTGATAAAAGTCCGCCATTGACGCACGCCCAGCCGCTGCCCACCCCTCTTGTCTGTCTCCCGCACCACTCAGCGCTTGTGACGGAAGCCTTCGACGTGCGTCAAGACTTTTGCCGGCCAGTCTTGTGCGAGAGAAGAGAGTTTGTTGTGGAGGCAGGTGGATCTGGGGAAAGCTGGGGTAGGCGCGGAGGGGATGGACGGTAGTTTTTGCTTTGTTGGGGGTTAGGTGGGTGGAGGGTGAGGATGGTCGGGTTGCTGGATTGGGTAGGTGCCGAGGGGAGGCGGAATGGGTTCCGCTTGCTGATTTTGTTAGTAGAAGGTGCCACGACACTTGGACATTCTGCGTATAAACTGATTTAAAGTATGTATGTCTTCTATGAAATAAGAGAGAGATCTAAAGAATGACCTTCCCAACATACAAGCAGTAGGGATGTTGTGCTGAGATTACAAAACAATTTTGGAAATTGCAAAATGAGTGACGCCAAACCTGCATTAAATGTAGTCAGTTGACTGCCCCTGCAAGTAAATAAAGCTACACGATCCTCTCAATACCACCACTCATAAATAACATGAATAATGATACATGCTATTAACCATACAAAAGAATGAGATACAGCAACTCCCAATCTCCACATCCTGTAGCTGGCAATAGTGGCTCAAGAATCGTTTGTAGCTGACACCGTAGGCGTACGATTAGAGAGACTGGTCAATCTCTCCATGAAAGAGATGTTGATCGAGAGTAGGTTCGTGCTCCACAAGGCCGAGGATGTGAGTAGGTCGAAGCCGTATCGATGGTTCACTATGTGACAATTCCTCATTGGCAGCTTTGGGGACTATGGTAAATCGAGGTCAGATGACGCCTCATCACTGCTCTGGTGTGGATAGCCAGGACGAAGGTCTTCCTCTGGATTTCGCACTCGAACTTAGTGAGTCCTCTCGCCAGGATATGTTTCGTCTGGTTTAAGACAGTCTTTACATCTCGGGTGAAAGCATCGTGAACATGCGACGTCAAAGTTAATGTTGTTGATGTGGTAATACTCGCAGCAAGCCCACATGTGACTTGGGATGGGGTCACCTTTTCCCAATGGTAGTGTCGCCATAGTCGAGTATAGGTACGTAGATGTGAGAACTCGGGGGCGTTCTGGAAAATGGTATGTTGTGATATTTGCTGAGAAGTATAGTATAGAACAATGGAGGGCTTGCGAACAATGGGTACAATGCAAGGAGACACGATGCGCATTTATATACATGTAATGACTGGTCGTGGCTTGAGTCTGGCAATGTTAGTGACTGTCCGTCCTGACAAGTAGCTTTGACTCTCCATGGTGACTGTGTAATGACTGTAGAACGAAAGGTATGTGCTCATTCGGAAAGTAAAGAAGGAGTGATGAGATGAGGAGAAGAATTATTGTAGTATATCGCTGTAAAGATATCTGCTACTTCGAGCGAGAAGTCGTGCAAACGCGAACATGCATGCATGCAAAGCTATCATGAATTTAATTGAAGGATTGATTCGACTACCTATTGTTGTCATGGGGAAGTCAAAGCTGCCAGCCACCAACACCATACGTCAAGAGCAAGGACCGGACATTGAACAAAGTGAGGACTTGTGGTGTAACGTAGAGATACCGGTAACGACAGTGGGGAAGATAAGGAACTCGAAAGGATGACTGGTGACGAGGTTTCACAAAAGAAAGAGAGAATGAGAAGCGGAAGTAAGAGATGAAGGAGATGACCAGAGACCAAAGAGCAACCAAAACACCTGTACGCCATGATCAAGATAGAATGACAGAACAAAGGCCTGAATAGAAAACCATAGAGATATCAGAGACCAGCGCAAAGAGAAACAGAAAAAGGATTGTAGCAACGATATCCGGGCGCGTCTACTAAGGCTTCGGCGTACCACAAAGCGGGCATTCATCCATCCACTTAGCATTCCAAGTGTCCGCACAATCCCCATAAGGGTTAGGGCATTTCCACATGTCTGCAGAGTGGTCCGGGACAAAGCTGTAACCTCCGCAAGTATGAATCTGTCCAGTAGGGGTCGCGTTGGGAGACACTGAGTGATCGCCATGGCCAGTGGAGATGGAGCTTGGACAGGGTAATCTCGTCAAGGGTGTGTAAAGAGACTCCTCAGCGGAGTGAATATGAGCATACTTCGGTACTGCCGAGAGGTTTGCGTCACAGCGCTCGTGTCCGTCATAGCTGCTTCGAGTGCTGCGATTGCCTGGCACTCCACTCAAGGTTTCCTGTCCTACCGACATGGCTCGCGAAGTGTTTGGAATGTTGAAAGACATCGCTATAATACCAATCGAGGCTTTTGAGTCTTGGGGTTGGTCCTGTAATGATGCGCAACGATCTTGGAGATGCTGGACTTCCGATAGGCTTGCAAAATGGTGTTTCGATGCTTGGAGGCGTAGCTAAGTTCGAAGACAGCAATAGATGGAATAGCTGTGAGCTTGAATGCTTTTGTTCTTTGCTTCTGGTGGATTGTGATAAATAGAAGTGTTTGATGATAGAGATGTTACTGCTGTGATTGATGAGATGATCTATACTGAGGAGTCGTGTCGACGGCATTTATACATCTCGGTCGAAGAATGTGAAGCTGTAAACGACTTGACCAAAGCCATTTGCCTCTCAAGTTACCTGTGAAGCTACTCTTGACCGCGAGTTTCAAGGGGCGCGTACTAGAGCAGATGTGCCCTTCATTCTCCACTCAGTCCCTCCTACTAATCTTCGTCGCACCGGAGGTAACTGTCCAATGCCAACATAGTGAGAGGGATTGCTTCATTGCGTATGTCGTAGTGCTATTGTCTAAGCCCTCAAAGGGACGTTTCGTTCCGAAGAGTCATTATGGTACTCCAACGAACGGGCATCGTGAGGTTCAGGTGACGTTCCATATTAGGCGAAAGGTATGGAACAGAAGATGGCCAGCCCTATGAAAAGAGATCGTCGTACGGCGGAGCATGCATGCTGCCCATGTCGGTATGTTGGATTCTTCCCGCTCCCATCATGCAGAGCAGCTGTGTCGGGTGTCGTCGCGATAGAGGTATGCAGAAGCATCGCGCCATTGGAGATAAGCGAGCACTAGATGGATCAACATGTTGGAAATATCGCTTGTTCAAGGTATAAACCTGGCAAGAAGATCCTAGTCGGTCGTTGAAGTCTGCCGCGGACGCATGGAAAGCGTGCCCTTCGCGATGCTATCACGTCATTAGCAACACAGCGCATCATTTCGCCAATTGACTTGACATCATTTCGGCCAAAAAACCAGGGGAAAAGACTCCAAGATACCAGCACAGCCACCATCCTTTCAAACGACTCGATGAAGCGTGCGTAGAGGGCGGTCATTTCGTCGTGACGAATCTCCCAACATCGTGGACGCCTGCGCAGTAAGGCTGCCCGGTCGGCTCCGTCGGCAGGCAGGATATGCAGTGCAGCAGGCGACGTTGGCCTCAGAAAGGGCTTGAGAGGGCCTCCGTGCAGGCGGTCTGCGCACCGTTTGCCTGGTCGTGGGTTACCACTCTAGGGCAGTGGAAGCGACGGAGTTGGTGTCGCGCATGTCGCAATGTTGCGCATACACGCAGGTGACCCAGAAGGACCTCACTGGCACCCATGGCGACTGCGAGCGGCATGTATGTCGATGTTAGCAGTAGAACGCTGCGATGGAAAGGCGCGGTGTCAACACGCATCTCACCCAAACCAGGGTCTCCCGCACCCCAAGCTCGCGGTTGCCGTATACCCGATCGACCCACCCATCCAGGAAGCTCGCAGACGGCAAGCACGGCAACAGTCCAAGACAATGTGCTTTGCTTGATCATTTGGCTTCTGATAAGGATTTGTGATCCGCGCTGGCGTTTAAGCTTAATTGTGAGGTTAATGCCACGTTGTTGTCATGCGTTGTGAGTGTTGGTGTAGGATGGCTGCCAAGAGCGGTAACGTGACTTGTCTTGGCATTTGTATACCCGCTGTGGAGAACACTAATGTGGATACTAGATGATATGTGTAGCTAGCAAGGTGGATAGTTGTACGTTCTGATACCTGCTCTGTCATTTTAGCGATAAGTTATGTCATGTAGGAGTGTAAAAGCATCAAGTCACGGACGGAAGCAGCATTCTGGTCGGGATGGCAAGAAAGCTCGAGACCAAAATTTGAATGGCAGTGAAGTTGAAAATCCAATATTTATTTTCAGGAAATATCTTGCCGTTCTTATTGTTAGGTGTGGTCACCACCAACACCTTCTGCGGCGCACGCACAGCAATGGCATCTAGTAAACCAAACTAACGGATATAGTCGCTAATTGCAGTCTAGATCAACCATGCAACGAAGGTTCGGTAGAACCAGCTGCCACCCTTGCCCTCGGTGGCTTTCTTCTCTGCTGCATGAGCGAGGAATTCCTCCTCTTCGCGGTCGATCTCGGCCTTGCCACTGTAGAAATCGGCTTCGTGAGGCTTGACCATCTTGGACTTCATGATGAACTTGTAACCGAAGATGCAAATCAGGTAGACCGGAATACCCTGAAACGTTTGTTAGCATGCTGGTTGCACATGAACGAATTGAGTGACTTACGAGGTATCCAGTAACAAAGTTCTTGTAGTCGAAAGTGCCATATTTCGGATCCTTGGTGAAGACACTGAAGTTCTTCGTCAAGGCGATGAGAATGCAGAAGAACAGCGCAATGTAAGATCCGATAAGACCGAACGGAGCAGTGTACGCCATCATGTCTTTGGTGATGCCTTGAGCGCGACGCGCGCGAACAAACCAGATGTGCGAGACCAGAAGTGAAATCCAAGACAACAGTCCAAAAATAGTGGTGAGATTGACGAAGTAACCGAAAACCACCTTGGCGTCATCTGCGGCGTTCATGAAAGCAGTGCAGCAGAAAAGGGCGGAGATGGCCAAAGCAGGTACGGGCACACCGCGCTTATCAGTCCAGAGGAAGATCTTAGGGGCATGGCCTTCGACGGCCAGACCGTAGATCGTACGGGAGGCAATGTAAAGGTCAGAGTTGGAAGCACTGAAGGTGAAGAGCAAGATGCAGGCGTTGACGATCGTGGGTAGATATGGGATCTTCGCAAGCTTGATGGCGACGACAAAAGGAGAAGCGGAGGCACCAGTAGTAGCCTTGTTTGCGAACGCCAACTCCTCGGAATTGTAGGGAACAATCATGCCCAAGAAGAATACCGACAAGCAGTAGAAGAACAAGATCCGGTAGAAGGTGAGCTTGATGGCGCGAGGAATGGTCTTGCGCGGGTTTTGGGCTTCTCCAACGGTAACACCGATAAGTTCAGTACCGAGATAGGCGAAGACGGCGTTGACCAAGGAGCTCCAGAATCCGTAGAATTTACCAGCAGAGCCACCAGCGATGAATGGCTTGAACGCACCGGGGTCATTGTAGTACTTGAAGCCAGTTGCCGGACCAGGCCCAGCACCGACAGCAAGGAGGAACGAGAGGAAGATGACACCAACCTTTTCATTAGTCAGTATTGTTCTGTATCGAAAAGCGCTTGAGACTTACAATCGTGATGACTTTGATAGAACTAAGCCAGAACTCAAGTTCACCGAAGAACTTGATACCGAAGTAATTGATACAGATAATGGCGACTAGGAAGATTGCAATCCAGACTCCGGGATTGACTTCATCTCTAGACTTCCATTCCGAAAGGATCAAAGCAGTGGCAGTAAGCTGGTTCGGCGTCGTGATAATGTACTTGCACCAATAAGTCCAACCAAGAGCAAACCCGAGAGCAGGGTCGCAGAAACGGGTAGCGTAGCCAGCGAAACCAGAAGCGTGAGGAATCCAAGCGGCCATTTCGCCGAGAGCAGTCATGACAACGTAGACGATGAGACCGACGGAAGTGTAGGCGATGAGAATTGAACCAGGGCTGTTGTTGTTAGTGATGATGAGAAGTCGCCAGATTCGCGCTACTTACCCAGATTGTGCCAGCGCTTTACCAGTACCGATAATGAGACCAGTTCCAATGGCTCCTCCGATGGCAATCATAGTAATGTGGCGCGACTTCAGACCACGGTGCAGATGCGTGTGGTCGGAGTGGACGGCAACGCCATTGCTGTCTACAGCGGAGACCTCTCCAGTCTCGTGCTGGTACTCGGGCTTGGTGCCATACTCAGGATCAGAAGCGTGAGGACTTACGCCGTCCGAAGAACTCGACTTGCGGTTCCAGATGGCCATTTTGAACGAAGTGTGGTGTGTACAGTCAGGTAGACTAGTACTTTATGGCGCGTGTTGAGAAGAGCCGCACACGGGTGAGTGTAAGCGGTGATCGCGGGAAGCAAGCCCGAAAACGTGAAGCGACTCGAACCTGGTGGTATCGAGGAAAAGCAACTGTATCTACAGCTGGTACGTCAAATACTGGTGAGGCAGCGGAGAGCCTTGAGCGGCTGAAGCAGCAGGGTACACCGGTTGTTATACGACCGAGGCTGCGGGGAGGGCGAGATAGTGGTCCCACGGAACGGTGCTGATAACGAGCTACCCGTTGGAAGGCTTGTCGCGGCGGGCGAAGTAACCCAAGACGGCCAAGCAAAGAGGACCGCAGTGAAAGAATGGTGTGGAACGGGCACCGCCAGATCCAACCAATATTGACGACTTGTGTCTTCTAGAGCGCCTTGAGCGCAGCGCCAATCGCCCGGTCCAGCGAGCCATGCTGGCGCGTCTGTCGTCTCCGCGTATATCTCCTTCTTGATGCAGTTGGACTGGTGGGACGGACCCTGCTCTGTGTGTCTTGGCGGTGGCCATGGCATGCTGAGCCAAGTTTCTTGCCTATCCTTAATTCGCTCCTAGCATGATAAGGTGATATTTGACGTTTGTGGGATCCGATAAAAAGCGAACGGCCACCCGGCTGCCTGCCGCTACGGGTCGTGACGGGATTCTGCCCTGTTATTTAGGGCGAGGCATCTGCCTGACGAAGATACGTCTTGTACGAGGCGGTATTGCGAGCGTCGCATCACGAGGCAGCTGAGTTGATTGCTGCGTGAGGACCTGTTCAGCCGCGGCGGTTTTGCCCCCGCATTAGGCGGCGCGTGCACGGGCCGGCACCTCGTTCGGGTGGCAGGAGTTGACGCGCCTGACGGTGTCGTCCCTTCCCCGACACAGCTAGGCATCACCATCGCCGCACAAAGGCCTACTGCTGATTGCCGTTCTTACGACATCCGCGTTAAATTCGCATTACATATCGCGTGCTCAGCTGCTCCACACCAAGAACGAAAATACTAAACACTCTCCACATCCGATACGCTTCGGACCGATCGACATCCCCATAGCGATAACCATTATCAAAACCGGAGCACCCAGTTCTGCTGTTGTGCGATGGAATCACTAACGAAATGGCCATCCCGGGCTCTCTAGTCCTGTTAGCGGATGCACCATCATCAGACCTGGAAAACCCTGGCGCTAAGCACCATGCTTCTGGAAGACCCCAAGATGACGACCCAACGCTGCATTGGCGATCGTGACGGCCACTCGATGCTCGTTATCTACTTGGCCAACACCCAAAGGATTCTTTGGACCGCTCTGGCCGATAATTGTGCCGACCTCCATGTTTGACGGCGACATTTGTCCATATCCAAGCACTTGGTAATCTTGTCAGCATCGGCTTAGTTGAAAATGCGCGAAATAAACGAAAGGCGCTGGGGTGCCTTGCAAAGGCAGACATGTGACTTCGCATACGAGAACGCCTCGCATTCGAAGACCTAATGAGAACTGCACTTTTGGTCAAGCAGTACAAGTTTCAGCCTTGGAATCAGTACATTTGCAAGAGCTTCTACCATGCATGTTCCAGTGGCACAGTGATTGTGGTCGCGTTCTCGAATGTTCTTCGTTTGATTATGATACACGATCAGGCAAGTTTCCCTTTCGGTATGTCGCGCCCAGTACTCAATTCTCATGTCTCAGTCTTCTTCCATCCATCCTCGATCTCCTCAAATATGCCATCAACGACGCAAACATCAAGACAGCGAACACAGTCCCTACCGCGGCTGTAATGTATACTGCTATCTCCGACTTCGAGGTGTCTGGTGCTTCTGGTACATCGGGAGCACATTCGTAAAATGTACTGGATTCCGTCGTTGATGTGAACTGTTCTGGAAGTGGAAGATACGGAGGTGATGGCATCGGCGCAATAACGGTGATCCAGACAACATGCGTTTCAGTAACAATGCCGGCCATTCTGCCGTACTTGATCGAAGAGAAGAGTGTTAGAGAGCTTGAGAGATGGGAAAAGAGCGAGACCGGCCGACCGAGAAGAGACGTAAGGTCATTTCCAAGGACACCGTTGGTACACTTGCAACGTAGAGCTATCAAACGGAAGCCATGAAGCTCATCATCGCTCAAAACACACTCTTGTAGATGTCTAGCACGTTACTACACTGAGCCGAGCCACTGAGGTTGCTTTGAAGCCTTCGCAGTGCGAATACGATTGAACAATCCTGGTTGCAAAGTCGGAGCCATTTCCTCGTCCTCTTGCACATCTGGCAGGCTTATCGGAGTCTTTGGCATTGTTTTGTTGGCCGACGAACGGTCGTGATCCGTTTGATTCGGACTGAGAAGCCTCTCTTGCGCGGCATCAGAATCTCATAGAAGGAAAAAGCTAGACAGGTGTACTGCCAACTGCACTGATACAAAAGTGGAAGTTGGCGAAGGCTTAACGTCATGTAGGTTTCTAGGAAGAAGGTAGAGGCGCACACGTGTACTTCTTTCCTCTAAAGTTGCGTCATGCTACAAACAAACGCATGCTCGTACACTACAGCACTGGCAGCCACGGACCATACCCACCACATCCACTCAGCTTTCCGCATCTCACCATTACAACAAACATCACTATCCACCTCCATCGCTATGCGTCTCGCACAAATCTACCACCCCGTCTTCGCAGCGGAGTTCAACGAAATCGCAGACCTCTTCGAGGCCGGCGAGCTTTACCCAGCCATCAACAAAGCCAAAGAGCTCATCGACCACCCGAGCAGACCCATGTACCACAAAATGCTCTCTTGGGTCATACTAGCTCTTGCTCTGGACCACCTGGACGTCATCAAGATCTGTATGCAGCGGGCAGATGCTATCTAGAAGAGGTAAGCCCCCACTGTACGAAACCCATGCGCATGTACTAACGTCGAACCCCAACCTCAGGCTGCGACGAAAGGTATGGCCGGGCACGAACGCCGAGTTCGATCTAGCGATGGACTGGACACGCGAGAATCTCGACATGGTGTTTGAGACTTGGTGGGCGGAGGTCTCGCGGCGCTGCCAGGATTACGACATTCACTATTGGGGCATGGTGCAACTTACGATACAAACGACCTGGGCAGGCGCGACTTAGGGTGTCGTGTTTGAAGTGTGGTGGATGGGGCTGATGGAGCGCTGCAAAGGTGCGTAATTGCCGATGTACGAACTGCATGTGAGACAAACACTGACTTCTTACACACATCTTCAGGTGCTGTTCCGGACGATCACTTCGAAATACCCACACCGGGGTGGGAACAGCGGCAGAGGCATTGGATCCGTGTTTGAAGCTGCTGAGGTATATTCATTGTGGTCATGAGAGGGTTGGACGAGCGTTGAATACGAGAAGAGGAATCTCAAACACCTCTTACGGTAAATGGCTTGTGGGTTGTAATATGATTACCGCATTTCAACTACATAAGTTCGACCGTAATCTCGAACATGAACACCGACACCAAGCAGCACATACAAGACTAGCCGCCTGAGAAACCAAAACACCAAGCACAAATGAACTAGGTATCCTTACGCGAACAAGAATCAAAATCTTAATGATATGCAAGAAAGAGCGCCAATCGCCCCAGCTCTGTCGCAACGGGTAGTGCAGCGGTGGGTATACCCAGCCCCGGGGTCCTGACTCCATAACTCCGCCCGCTTGCCGTAGATGTAGCGTAGTATATAGCCCGGAAGATGGTGTTGCACAGCAGGCCATCCAAGTATCCATCCGTATATATTTGCCTTACTCCTTTTGCCCTTCGTTGAGTACAAGCTCAACAACCACCTGACTCCTCTCGTGTTGCGGATGTTGCAAGCTCAGCTTGACTGTCCTGTTGTGACTTGAACCTCCGCTGAGCCCGTCGTCGAGGCACTTGACATCGCGTCCAGCAATGACCTGTCGTAGGCGACCGTTCTGCGCATTTCTGATTTCGACAAAGTCGGGGTCGAACAAGAGAACGTAGGGACCATACATAGCGGCAGACTTGGCTTTGCCGACAAACTCCATGATGACGGACCGCGAGATGTCACCGTTCTTGTTAATGTATACGGCACACTCTTCGTAGCAGAGCAAGAACTCTTGATCCGAGAGGCGGAACATGCCCAGTGGGTCCTGGTTTTGAAGACGTGAAGCGATGGTGGCCACGTGTGATTGCTTTAGATCGGGTACGGACCATGGCTGCTTCTTGTCGAGGGTAAGCACTTCAAAGCCCTTTGCTGTGGAGATTGCCAGCGACGAGTGGAAGAGATTGATCGTGTAGCACTCTGCTGGGATATAGAACTCGTCGTACTCGCGGAAGAATTCTGTGCGTCCAGACTTCCATATCCTGGACTTTTTCTCGGATGATTTCTGGTAGACGGGCTCAAGCACCTTGAAGGTGGATGAGATACCGTCACGTTTCTTATAGAACACTAGCGTTCTGTCTTTCATCACGCCAGTGGCGAAGAAGCCAATGTCGCGTGCACCCGATAACTTTTGGGGTGCTCGTCGTGTTGAGTCGTTTGAGGGGGCTACGCCACTGACTGGGCACACGGCATCGAGATGGTATGCAATCAGTGCCTTGTCGGAGATGAGCAGCATCAAGCTGAACTGTTCGAGGACGGCAATCTGCGTCACACGTGGTACTTGGATTGCCTGTGACAGTTAGCGTCGTATCATACTACTATGGGTGTGTTGCATACCTTAGACCAGCCTCTGGGATTATCAAACTCCGATACGTAAACTCCAATATCCGTACCGACGGCTACCATATGCTTGCCGTAGGGCTGGCTGAAGGCTGTTGCACAGTTCACCCGTGCGCGGCAGATGGGGACAGGCCGCCCAACGTTGACGAAAAGCTTCTCCACCTCGTCGACTGCGCGGTCCAATGGCGTTCCCTTGATTGTGATAGCTTTTTGTGATGGCATCGCGCTATCATAAGCGAAGGCTGCATCAGCCATGACTCTCAGCTTGAACGGTTCGG